CGCAGCTGCTCGCTCACTCCCCCCCCCCACTTCCTCCCACCGCTCCCGGAGGGATGGGGAGAAGAATGGAAAGAATGTAACTCCCATGGGTTTAGATAAGAACAGTCCAGTAACTAAGGTATAACACAAACCACTACCGCTACCAACAATAATAATAAGGGAAATAAGGGAAAAGAATACAACTGCTAACCATCTTCCAACTGATATCCAGCCCAATGTGAGCAGTGATCTAACCCTTCCAGGTAACTGCACCCAGTTTATATAGTGGGCATGACGTGCTATGGTGTGGAATGCCTCTTTGGTCAGTTTGTGTCAGGTGTCCTGTCTCTGCTTCCTCCTGTCTTCCCCTCCCCCCTGGCAGAGCATGAGACTCACAAAGTCCTTGGTCAGAGTAAGCATTACTGAGCAACAACTAAAAACATTGGTGTTTTCAGCGCTGTTCCCAGGCTGGAAGTCAAAAACACAGCACTGCACAGGCTACTAAGAAGGAGAAAAATGACTGTAACTGCTGAACCCAGAACATCCTGCCAGGCAGGGTCCACAACAAAAAGACCACACACTAGCTGTATAGCATGCACAGTTTATTAAACAAACAAATAACCACAGTAAAGCAAGCAAGCACGCTAATGCAAATCAGATATCTATTTTTATATGTATATAGTAAATAAGTACAATAAAGTGAACCAGAGATTCTTGAATTTTGTCTGGATTAATTTCCTGTCCTTTATTTTTCATATTCTGCAGTATTAATTCTAATTGTTGTACATCTTGCTAAGTTTCTCCCTGAATCATTATGTCATTGATATAATGTATCATTTGTATTGTCTTTGTCAATGACAGCTCATCCAAATGTTCTGCCACAATTTAGTGTCAGAGGGTGGAATTACGGAGCCACCCTTAAGGTAAGCAGGTAAATATATACCGCCTACCTCGCCAAGTAAAAGCAAATAGATTCCAGTGTTCCTCAGCAATGGGTATTGTAATAAAAGCATTAGCTGTATCAATTGCTGCATACCAGGTTCCAGAGTGCTGTTGTATTCTTTCAATTAAAGTAACTGTCTGGTACCACAGAATCATAGAATGATTTGGGTTGGAAAGGACTTTAGATCACCCAATTCCAACCCGTCTGCCGTTTACAGGGACACTAAACCATGCAAACACACACTAAACCATGTCACTCAAGACTCCATCCAACCTGGCTTTGAACACTGCCAGGAATGGAGCAAGGCTGTTAGTGGTGGGGTGTACTTGTTAAGTTCCTTATAGTCTGCTGTCATTTGCCATGTCCCATCACTCTTCTTAACAGGCCACATAGGATTATTAAAGGCAGTGGTTGTTGGTTTCAACACTCCCATATCTAGTAAATCTGTAAGAGTCTGTGAAATCTCTTCATGTCCTCCTGGTACACAATATTGTCTCATTGTGATTACCTTGGTGGCAGATGGGATTTGTATTGGAGGCATTTTAACTTTTCCAACTAAAACTGGCCAAGCTGATACATATGCCCTGCTTCCAAATTGATACTTACCATCAGGTAAGCATGAAGTCAATCCTTTTAAAAAATCAATTCCAATTATATATTCAGGGATAGAACAATCATCACTGAATAAGTTTGTTTTGGCAGAGTGCCAGTTTCATCTCACTTTTTGTCTGTACTGCTTCAGTTTGTTTGCCACCTAATCCTGTAATCAAAACCTTTTGCCCTTTAAATTTTTTAGGATTACCATAAATTAGAGAGGCCTCTGCCTCAGTATCACTGAGGGACTCAGCTGTTTGACAAGATCTATTTTTCCAACAAATTTGAAGCTCTGTGTGAGGACAGTGATCTGTCCTCACCCATCCTTATGCTGGAGCTTGGCCCTCATCTCAGCCTGGTTTTAATTCTCTCAATTATTTTAACATTTTAACGTCTGGCCATAGATAAAGATCAGTGTACTGGTCCCATCCCTTTTCATCCCCTGGAATGATCGACTTGCCACTGGGGGCCCTCCATTGGTAAGTATACTGTCCCATTGAGGCTCAAAGGGGGGAGCTGGAGGTCAAATTGTTATGTCAAATTCATTGCTTTTTGCTTGAACTGTTTACCCTTTTCACAGATTTATGCAAACCCATGTTGTTTGTACAGTCTCCACATTTCATTGGTGGGAATCCCATCAATCTTATCTCAAGCCATCCCATCTTCCAGCAAGGCAGCAAACCTTTCTGAGAGAGTCAATCCTCCTTCCCCTCCTTCCCCTCCTTCCCCTCGCCCCTCTTCTTGTATTTTGTTTGGTGCCCCACTCCCCCAAATCTCCTAACTGCTGGGTCTTTTCTATGACTTCTTCTATGGGGTGTCCTTTTTCATTTATCAATAAGGTCATCATAATACTTATATACACATGTGGTGCAGTCTTACTGATCTGGTTCCAAATAGAAACCGATAGTGGAGCCTGCAGCACAGTGTCTGCATCTCTGACAAAAACAGCAGTTTTCATTCCTTCCTCCTTAACACACTGACCACAGTCCTGTAAAGTGTACCAAGGTTGATCTGCACCGGGCCATTCCCCTTCTGTGAAGTATTTTCTGTTGCAGCTGCTAATAAATAAATTTGTCTCATCCCTAGTGCCTTGAAAGGCATCCTGAACAAAGGAGTTAGAGCTTAACATTACAAATTTGTTAACTTTGTCTGGATCCAATTTAACTCCAGAAGCCCCTAAATCATGCAACCTGACAACCCAAGAAAGCAGAGATTCCCTAAGCTTTTGTTTGAACCTGTCTATAATGTCACTAATTTTGTGCTGAGTGAAATCTTCTACTATGTCCTGCCAATAACTGGACCACCCACACATTCCAGTTTCCTTTCTACTACTGGCTTTTCTTCAATGAACACCTCATGCTCTCAACTACTACCCAAATCAGTTGAATCTCACACATCTCCATCCCATTTCTCAGGGTCCTAATTCCTTCCTGCCTCTGCGATCACTGCATGGACTTTTTTCCAGTGTACTCGACCCCTTCACTTTCAATATTTATATTGGGCTGCCCAAACATCTGCTTTTTCTGCTACTGTTTGATACGTGTCCAATTTATCAGTTAATAGCTATAACATAATTATTTTTCCCTGCAATTTGCAAACTTGTTTCTGCAAATCAATTTTCTCCTTCTGCATTTGCTCTCTCTGCTGGTGCTGCTTTCGGTATGCAGCCAGCAGAATCTATCCTCATCTCCCCAGAGCAATCAATTCTTCCCCTTTTTCTACTGAAAATTTTGGTAAACATTCAACTACACCAAAGGATTCTGACTCCTTAAAACAGGAGTCCCAGTTCTCGCAGAAGCCATGTCATGACCCCTCAGCTGCCAAAATCCAATAAGGATCCAATATTCCCAGCCAGGAATACCCAGCTCTACATCTCTCTTACCATCAGTTTTATCTTAAAAAAAAAAAAAAGAATTTTGTTTTGTATCCTGCTGACTATATCAGATTGTTCGGCTAACAGGCAGGGTACACAACAAAACAACCACATACTAGCTGTATAACATGCACAGTTTATTAAACAAGCACACTAAAGCGAAAAAAGTACACTAACACAAATTGGATATATCTGTATGGTAAATAAGCAATAAAGCAAATCATATATATGTAAGTAAAGTACAAAGGAAAATTAGCAGTGCATCAAATCATTACTGCATAGAGAGAACAGAGATTAAGAAGAAACACATCACCAGTCACCAGCAAATCATCCTCCAGTCACACACTTCAGCGGGGAAGCCCTGTTGTAGCCAACGCTGGGAGCCTCAGGTAACTGGGAAAGTTCCTTCGAGGTGCACCCACCCACAGGTGAAGCCTCGGATTTGGCTACAAGAAGCTCCTACATTTATACCCTTAGAAACACCAGAGCAGCTTGCTCCAAGCCCCTGTCTCCAACCTGTCCTTGAACACTGCCAGGGATGGGGCAGCCACAGCTTCTCTGGGCACCCTGGGCCAGCGCCTCAGCACCCTCACAGGGAAGAGCTTCTGCCTAAGAGCTCATCTCAGTCTCCCCTCGGGCAGGTTCAAGCCATTCCCCTTGGCCTGTCCCTACAGGCCCTTGTCCCAAGCCCCTCTCCAGCTTTCCTGCAGCCCCTTTAGGCACTGGAGCTGCTCTCAGGTCTCCCCTTGAGGAGCCTTCTCTTGTCCAGGCTGACCCAGCCCAGCTCTCTCAGTCTGGCTCCAGAGCAGAGCTGCTCCAGCCCTCGCAGCAGCTCCGTGGCCTCCTCCGGACTCACTCCAGCATTTTTATATCCCTCTTGTGCTGTTGCCCCAGAGCTGGATCAGGGCTGCTGGATCAGGGCTGCCGGGGGCAGGGGGGGGGGAGGCTGTCTCCCCAGAGCACAGCAGAGAGGCAGAATCCCCTTCGTCAGCCTGGTGCTCATGCTCCGGGGGTGCAGGAGCAGCACACAGGGGTTTCTGGGCTGCAAGCGCACGCCGTCAGGTCCAACAACCTGAAGCATCTAATCAGCGAGTTGCTCTTCAGTTTCCCCAGCACCTTTCCAATTGCAGACGTTGCAAACATATTGCTACAATCACCCCGTTTTATCCTTGGCTATGTCAAAAGAGGACACCACATTACAGCTGCAACTCTGGAACAGTACAAGAACGCAGTTTTGGCTTCCAAAGGAAGGGGAACAGAAGACGTTCTGCTACATCCCACATGTTTAGGGCTCCTTCCAGCCTCTCGGTCTCTGCAGCCCCCATCCACTCCTGTAGCTTTGCAGAAATCCCAGCCACACTAAGCTCAAACACAGTGGCACCTCCCCATAAAGTAACCAAAGAATTTCTAAACAGATGATTAATCCACTAAGGCTGGGGGGAACCATCCCTTTTTCCCCATACCAAGAGGCTAACACAAATACAGCAGCATGCCAGGCAAGTGATCGCACCTGTAGAACAGTGCTCTGCTGCATCTCAGCAGCCAGCACAGCACTGCCTCCTCCTCCGAGCACTGCAGGGCCCTGGCAGAGTCAGAGCCGGAGTGACAGGGTGATGTCAGCACCATCATTTATTTGAAGAGGGAGCACAGCTCTGAGGAGAGGCAACCGATACTCCCATTCTGCAGCATGCTAGGACAGAACAGCCCCACAGAGAGCAAGGGGCCACCTCCCAATGCAGGTCACCCCAAAGCACATCTTCCACAAGCACACAACACCCTCCCCCTCCTCCCGGAGGGAAGGGGGACGGCTCCATCTCCTAGGGAAAGTCAGGAGACACCACACATGCAGGAACCTTCACAAAAGCCATTCCTGAGGCACCGGCACGAGATCCAGGCAGGCTGAGAGGCCAGGCCAGGCCAGCCTCCCCTGCCTGCTGCACACACTGCTCTGAGGTGCAACGCCGCTGTCTGCTGCTGCTTCTGCCAAGGTCTTGCAGACAGAGCTCTTGCTGTTTGCTCTCCAACCCTGCCTCCTTGGTCCCCAAACTTGCATTCCACACATCAGCCAGCAGTTAGCCCCATTTATTACAATGTAGAGCTACCTGGGCACAGAAAGGAAAAAATCCACCCACACTAAGGCCTGGCAGAGGAGAGCTTTTCCCCGTGGTTCGCCCTCCACTGATGGAAAAAAAAATAAAATAAGAAAAGTAGAACAATCCTTCATTATAAGATTAAGGTCCTTGACGTGTGAGTCTGTTTCAACATGCCCAAAAACTGTCGAGCTTTCTCCTGCATGAAGAGCTGGTCTCTGGTTCCACCACAGGCTACCACTGTCCAAGCCCTGGTCATCTACAGAGGGAAAAGAAAGCAAGTGTACAACACAGCGAGGGGAGAGGACAAACATTATGTCAACTTCCTTCCTGAAAGACTGCAAAGATAAATAAACTGTTATCTGCTATCCAAGAGAAATAAAATATTTGCCTTAGGAGCACCCATCTTTCAACCGGGAGGAACTTGCACGCTGCCGGTTACTGATCTCAGCTGAGGTGGTGATTTCAAGCAAAGGAAGGTTACATTCAGGAGCTTCCCAGGCAAATGCTCCATTTCAGAACAAGTCTCGTGCCCTTTCGGGCCTTGCCCCTACCTGGCTTGAGACAAAACTCACAAAGCACAAACTAGCTAATGCTCCTTGTATGGAAGAGATTCCAGAGGGATATAAGGAATCCAAGAACAACTTTGGGGTTTATTCCTAACCAGTTAAATTCCTGCAGGAGATGGTCAGCCCAGGTCTAGATTAGTCAAAGACCATCCTTAACTGCAATTTGGTGCCTTCACTTTCAGGACAAAAGAACAGCTGAAAACCCAGGTGTGCTTCAGTCACTGCATGCAGAAAGGGCACCCATGACACGGCTTTGCACTCCAGGGAAAACCTGCAAATTACCTGATAAATGCAGCCAAGAGACACGAGGTCCTCACCTGGAAATACCCACTGACATGCACTGCAAGGTACCAGAGCTCGAGCTTCAGCGCTTGCAGTAAGAACAGCCTGTGCAGCCAACAGCATGGCTTTGGGTTCAGCCAGGGCTAGATAAGCTTCCTTAATAAATAACTGCCGCTGCTAGCAACACCAGTCCGGTACAATAAAACCCAAGAGCCCCGCAGTACCATAGACAGCTCTGCTGTTCTTGGGCAGTGGGGTTTCACTGCATACCTGTACTGTCACCACACAAGCTGCCTTACCTAGTCACCTTTAAGTCAGTCCCAAAGCTTTATTTATGCAGATACATTAGCTCTGAGAGCAAAATGACCCATAGGACAGAAGAAATGGAAGTGTTTAAGGAGGGCTCGAGAAGGGGAAGGAATTACTCTGCCTGAGGGGTACTTATCTGTCAGAAGAAAGAGCTTTCACAACAGCTCTAATCCAGGGGCAGATGCAACCCCCTCACTGCAGTGTTTCATTAAGACTGAGCCAATGCTTTTCAGTGAAGACAACACTGCATTAGAGCTCTTCCTGGGATGTGAAAACCGCCCACTCTAGCCCCTAGTTGCAGTTTTGCAGTTTCACACACACCCCCCCCCCCCCCCCCCAAGCAGAGCACACATTTCCACCCTCATTCAAGCTACAAGAGAGCCCTGATGACTTGGCCCAAGCAAACACCTGCACAATCATGGTCCAAATCCCCTTCTCTATGCTACACTGGCTAACAAAGCAAGGATACCCCCCACGCACTTGTGCACTCTGCCTGCAAATACTCCAAGTGGTGAAGATTTTAAGGAGAGCACGAGAAACCGTTTATGCCCCAGGGGGCATTGTAGGCTGCTGCGACTCTAGCTCAACCCAGACACACCTGCGTGGAACAGGGTAGCAGTAACACCCCCAATGCCAGCATAAGCCACAAGGTGGCACACTGTACTCGTCACGGGTTCAAGTCAACGGCAGGATAAAGCCAACTTGGGCTGCCTGTAGTACGCAGCCCTCACAGCAACTTAGAAACACCCTAAAAATCACAGGGGTGAGAAACACATTTTGGAGCTTCAACCCCTTGCTCCTCCTCCTGAGGAGGGGGGACAAGGGCTGCCCTAGCAGCTCACCTCTGACTGAGGCAGGAATAGCTGCAGGGCTTACCGGTGCTGGTGGTCTGAAATGGCTGGGCATTTTCCTGCAGGACATTTTCTCTGGCTGCACTTGCACAAAGGCTCTGTTGAGCAAACCACTGTCGTTCTTCCTGCTCGAGGAGGAAAGGTTTAGGGACCTCGTCAGGAAATTCACAGGCTGCAAAAAGGAAAGAAGTTAATTTGCCTGAACAGTGCTGATATGTGGCCTGGCCAGAAGATCAGCTAACAACTCCAGCCCTTCATCCACATTCACATGTGCTGCTTCTCAAAGGCAGCTCCAGGTGGCAAAAAGCTCCCACCACTCCCTTGCATAGGGCTTCCCTGTGAGGGTGCTGAGGCGCTGGCACAGGGGGCCCAGAGAAGCTGCGGCTGCCCCATCCCTGGCAGTGTTCAAGGCCAGGCTGGACACAGGGGCTTGGAGCAAGCTGCTCCAGTGGAAGGTGTCCCTGCCCGTGGCAGGAGCTGGAACTAGAGGGTCCCTTTAGCTTTCGGGTCACTTCCAGCCCAAACCAGTCTGGGATTCTACGATTCTTTGGAGCAGAAGCTAACTCTGCCCCTGCTCTGAGCACAACACCCCTCACCTGAGCTCTTTTGAAGCAGACAGTCTTGGGGAGGGCAGGCGTATTTTGTGTCATGTCTTCATCCACAATATCTAGCGCCAGAGACTTCCGGACCTTCTTGATGGGACTCCTGCGCAACTGGGGGGCATAGGAAAGCAAGTGTCAGCATGAATCAACCTCTGAACTGCCATCTTCACAGCCCAGGGTGCACACCAAGCTCATGTCAGCCCAGATCTGCACTGCTCTGACATCTTCCCACCACATGGCACAGCAACTTCCAGAGTGCCCCCTGGCACCAAGAGCCACAGATTTATAAGAGGAAGCATCTTCCGGTAGGAAAGAAAGGCCACCAGAACTGAGCCAACAGACACTCCATACATGCCCACAGCCTCCTGGGAGCCAGCTTTCCACAGATGCTCCAAGCGTGCCATGGTGTCTCCTATGGGTTAGGGACATGGGTCTCTCCTAGCATGCCCCAAGCTCAGCATAAACCAGAACAAAGCTGGCAGGATTTTAAGCAGGCCTTAGCCTCAGGCACCTCTTGCTGATTAAAAGGCAGCAGCCACAGGCCAAAAACGTTTGGGCATCAACAGCAGGATGAACAAAACCAGCAAAACACCCCTAAACAGCACAGAACAGCTCAGCCACAGGTGCTAGATGCAAAACCAGCTCACTCCTTGTTTCCTCCTCTGTTTCTCAGGTTTCACATCATCCTCTATGATAAGTTCGATGCCAGCTTCACTTCGGAGCACCTCTTTCAAGTCTTCTTCCAGGTGAGGAGTCTGGGGCTGGTGTGAAAAGGCAGAGAGAGAACATAAGACAATCAAAATCTGTATGCTGGGCAGGCCCACAAGTATTTCCCTCAAGGGTGAGGGGAGCACGCAGTGGGAGGACAAACACAACTGATTTACTTCCCAGCTGGAACGACGAGAGTCCTGCTAGCCTGACAGATTTACAGGATCTCCAAGCATGAGAGACTCTTACTAGCTCAACCCCAAAGCGCCACCGAGAGAGCAGGATGCACAAAAGGCCCGAGATGCTGGAAACTGCCGTCCCTGCAACACCCACATTAGGAGACCCAGTTCCTCTGGGATGCCTAGGTAGATTGTTTCCTTGGTTTCCCTTAAGTTCATCAGTAGTCAAGCACTGCAGCCTGATTCAAGGGCAGGTTTTGGCATTTGTAGCTGGTTTACAGAGGAGCTAAAAGTCCTGCGGCTACTTCCCATGACACGTTCACCATGACAAGGTTCCCCTCATCCCTCCCGCCTCAGCCTGGCGCTATGAAACTGCCCTGTTACGGCACAGTTAACAGCAAGCTCACAGCTCTGCTGCAACCTACCCCATGTCCCCTTTGCGTTCACTCTGCTTCTGCCATCAGCAAGTGGCAGACCCGCCCAATAATTACCAGAGGCCTGATGGGTCCATATTTCTCCAGGGCATTTTTGAAAGGTGTGGGGGTATGAGGTGTGCTGTCCACCACATACTTCTGATCTGGTGTGACAAACCTGGAAGCAGGAAAAACAAAGGATCAGACATGCTGTAACCCACACAAAATAAATCCGTCCTTCCAAGCCCTGTCACGACATGAGCCACCTGCAGAGTCTCATGTGGAAGGAGCAGCAGAAGCCATCCTGACCTGGCTGGACTGTCCCTGGGGTGCAAACAGGGCGAAACAGGAGCTTTCAGTAGGGAAAATAATCCTCCAGACATGTCAGCTCTACTGCTCCATCCTACCAGCTACGAAGCACCCTTGTCAGAAAGCAGTATACACCCTGACACAGGCAACACACAGCTCAGCAGCCCAGCCTTATTCTGCACTGCTTCTGCTGGTGGATCTGCTCAGGCCCACCCTGGGCTTGTGACAGTCAGAGCTGGACGAGCGGAATTCCTGGGTGTGAACGCACCGAGAGCAGCCCAGCCAGTTCACGTCACCTGGATGGGGAAGCTGCTCTGGGCCATGCCAACAGCAGAGTGGTTTTGCTAACACAACCAGCACCCCCTGGTTAACACTGTGCTGCTTCAGTCCACCAGCAAAGCACCACCTGTGCAGACCGTCCCTTCTCACCTGCCTGGGACAGTGCCCTGGGTAACCATCGCCCTAGAGTGCCCCTCAGGTCAGGCAAATCAGAGGGTGCAGCGCTCAAGGGATGGATCTTAACAGCTCTTGTGAAGGAAGTCAAATCCCTTCCCTGCTGGCACACGGGGAAGGAAGCAGGGCTCACAGCACAGCAGTGTTTCCCAAACGAAGGCAACACAGAAGGCAACAACCCACCCAGCAGCCAAGCACAATGGTGGTTACTGGGCTATTGCTCCAATCAGCCTGGACACTCGACCCCTGCAGCTCAGAGAAGAGCAGTCTTTGGGGGACATGCTGCTTTAAGGAAGTCCCCTGGCCCTCTCTCAGCTGTGCCAGTACAAGCCTGCTTGAACTGGACCAGACTCCTCTGTGGAAAAGGACAATGCTCAGGAGAGGAGGAGGAAAGGACTTACGCCGAGTTCTTCTGGAGCAGAGGGGTCTTGTCCCTGTGCAGAGGAGTGCTGACAATCACCTTCTGACTACACACAGGTGTGGAAGTCAGAGATGGGTTCTCCAGTTCAAGTGTATCCTGTTTGGTCCAAAAGTTTAAGAACTGCAAAGCACAGGAAAGAAAGAGAAGACACTCAGTCTCAAGCATTCCAGCATAGTATCACCAGTCATTGCTTTTTCCTAAATACGGGGAAAACTGAAACAGGGACAATCCTCCCATACTGAGTGGCACAAGACCGATCAGTCCCAGTATAAACCCCGATGACTCTTACAGTCCTGTGCACGGATACACACGTGAATGTTGCCGGACGGTGCCTCACACCTCTAAAGGTTATTCACTTCCCACAGGGGATGAACTGACGCTACTACAAACATCTAGAAGTGGCAGAGAAGTCTCTCCTTGCACTGGTCCAGAGAAGGCCAAGCAAAATGGTGAAGGAGGAGTAAACCCAGCCCACCAAAGGTCTATTCTGGCCTCAGGCTGACAAATGGGAAGGAAGACACAAGCGTGGACGTAACACAACAGCGTTCAAGATAACAGATTTTGCGCTGAGCCATCTTCAGCCTGAACTGTGAGAAAACTACAAACTATCTCATCTCTGCTGGGATTTTACTTCATGGCAGCTAAAAAGTGACAATTTTACTCCCATAAGGGATGAGGCCTGTACCCAAGAACCCATCGGGAGAGAAGAGCTCTATGCGTTACATTTATTGATGGCAGAAGCTGAGCCTGCGAGGCAGGATATGCCTTTTGCCTACTCAGATTTATTTGAGGCTTTTCACACCCTACAGAGCTGCACATTTCAGGTCCTGCTATGATTTCCCAGTTCTTGCTGGCTTTGCATTTGAGGTCATAGAATCTCAGACTCATTTAGGTTGGACAGAACCTTAAAGCTCCTCCAGTTCCAAACCCTTCCACGGGCAGGGACCCCTTCCACTCGAGCAGTTTGCTCCAAGCCCCTGTGTCCAACCTGGCCTTGAACACGCCAGGGATGGGGCAGCCACAGCTTCTCTGGGCACCCTGGGCCAGCGCCTCAGCACCCTCACAGGGAAGAGCTTCTGCCTAAGAGCTCATCTCAGTCTCCCCTCGGGCAGGTTCAAGCCATTCCCCTTGGCCTGTCCCTGCAGGCCCTTGTCCCAAGCCCCTCTCCAGCTTTCCTGCAGCCCCTTCAGGCACTGGAGCTGCTCTCAGGTCTCCCCTTCAGGAGCCTTCTCTTGTCCAGGCTGACCCAGCCCAGCTCTCTCAGCCTGGCTTCAGAGCAGAGCTGCTCCAACCAGCTCCACATGCCTCTTGTGCTGGGGGGGCTGCAGAGCTGGACACCGGACTGCAGGCGGCCTCACCCTCAGCACAGGTGTCAGACTGGCCTTTGGTACTTTCCCATGTGCTGCCCTGTGCTGCAGAAATGGCAGAAATAAAGGCACGGGTAAGCAGGGTCTGAATAACAGAGTAGCTGTGGGAACTGTGCTGAAGAACACAACAGCCTTTATTCTGTTATATGGACAGATCTCCACTATATCAGTATGTGAGACACTTGTGGGTTTGAACACCACAGTGCTCAGAGATGATGTATGTTGGGTGATCGTGAAGGTCTTTTTCAACCTGATCGATTTTGTGACTGTTCACCACATTTGTGGACACTGGAGGAGTCATAACAAAGGCTGAAAGATCAGAGTCCCTTTTGCAATGAAGACAAGACCAGGAGCATTTTCCTGATTACAGCAACACAAAGATCTGCACGAGGCACATGCTGCTGAGCCTGCCTGTTTGACTTAACTGGAAACAAACAGGGAAAGCCACTTGTCACTGTTGCCACTCTGCTACCCACAGCTAGGGCAGCAATGCCCTGGAGATAAAAGCGCCCCTGGGACAGAAGCAATCCCGCAGTGGGCAGGCATGTACATCTGCACAGTGGTGCTTCTTTATCATAGTGAGCACATGGCCTGCCCACCACTCAGGGTAGCTGAGCCTTCCTGATGCTGCAAGCACTCCCAGAGGCAGGCATAAGCTGTTGCTCCACAGGAAGGGCAGCACTTAAGACAAGCAGTGCCAGTACCCAGGCTCTACATCTTGCTTTAGCAAAGAGACATATGCTGCACACTGGCACTGGCTCAGTTCAAGGGAGGAGAAGCACAAAACTGACAGAGCTGATGGGAACACACAGTATTAAGGCAAATAAATAGAGCATTAACATGCTCACAACCAAGCCCAAGCAGAGGAGCAGCTCGACTGGGGTCTGCCATTGCGCCATACCTGAGATGGAGAGAAGGGCAGTGTCTTGACAGGGGTGCTCTTCGGCGTCATACTGTTGCAGGAGTCAAGGAAGGAAAGGCTGGTGCTGGTGACGTTCTCTGTGACTGGGGAGAGCGTGATCTTCCTCTTCTTCTGCCTCTTCAGCACAGAGGGTGGCGTGCCAAAGCTCACCTCTGCATGTGGCGAGATGGGGATGAGCTCCCCTTTGCTGCTCTTGCTGAGGTCAGAGATGGTGTGGCCATCCAGGCGGTATTCGGTCACATTGGGCAGGGACGACGTTGGTTTGCTGGGGGTTTGCCTCACCGGGCTGCTGCTGCTGCTGCTGCTGCTGCTGCTGGCAGAGGGTTCCTCAGGCAGGTCAAACTGGGTCAGATCACACCACCCGTCTGGGTCCTGCTCACAAGGGAAATCATCAGAAGCAGCCCAGGAAGGAAAGCTGAGCAGATGGTATAGATGCAGATACAAACTGGGAGGTGAAATAAGTGAGGTGGGGGGAGTGGTGTGAGATTGCACCAGCTTTTGCAATAAGCCTGGCTAGAGGAGAGCTCAAGCCCTTCTCTCTGCTGCCAGCACAGCTGAGAACATGAGCAGGGAACTGACCCACCTGAAAGCTGCTGCCTGTGCATAGGGCAGTTTTTTTCCTATTTACAGAAGGTTAGTTTCCCAGTTCAGTTCATAGCACAGCTGCTGCTCCCACACACAGAGGGGACAAAGAAGCTGGGAGTAGCTCTGGGGACAGATGAATGAAGTGACTGTCACCTAACACTAAACCATAGTCTTTGGCACATCAGCACAGCTGGACACACTGGACGCAGGGCTGAGCTGAAAGCAGATTAAAAATAACGAGACCGATTCAGAGATCACCTGCTTCACAGCTCAACCCTACCAACAGCCAAAGTACCATTCAAGCAGGCCCCCAAGGACGCCCACATGGGCCATTAAGCCTTGGGAAAGGACTCTCAGTCCTCCTGTACAAATGCAAAACGGATCCTTCAGAGATAATCAGCTCATAAGCTCCTTAGGCAGGCTGGGTGCCTCAGAGGCATCTTCCCTCTGAAGGCAGCAAAGTGCTCTGTTGGTTCTAGCCAGCCTCTCATCCTGGCATGCCTGTCACCCTAGGGACCTCCAGCACTGCTTGACTGGCCCATAATAACTAGTTTCAGTAAAGCTACCTCCATTGAAATCAAATGGTGTCTTCATCCCAGTGTCTGTCCTGCACACTACAAGTAGACCTGGCCCACTCCCAGTCTGTCCTGTCCTATCTCATATCCCATAAGAGGAAAAGTAAAGCCAAGAAGCACAGGCCTGAACCCTTAGGAAAGGGAGAGCTGGGGACACTGCCTGATAAAGGAGGGTTGAGATCAGGTTTACCAGCATCTACAGCCTCCCACGCCAGCAGAGCCCACGCACAAGGACATCAGCCTAGGAGAATTTGCAAGCCCAGAGCAATACTCACAGAGCTGGAAAGGCCTAATCTAGCCCTAGCAAAGAGACAGGGCTCACAGCACACAGTGGGAACCCACAAGCCAGTGACAGACCCAGTCATCCTCAGGATGCCTATGGTGATGAGCAAGGGGAAAGGATGAGATTTGGTCTCTCAACATTGCCTGGAAAAGCACGGATTGTTACTTACAGATTCAATCATGTCCAGAGCTTCACTGAAGGCTGGTCCAGATGCTGGGTACAAATAGTTGGCAGCTTCAACAACCCATTTGTACGGTGATGTGACAAGTGAAGAGGCATCCTCAGGCACCACATCATCCGGGGTCCCCTCAGCGTTATGCTCTGCTAGTTCCGTGGCTGGCAGCTTTGAATGCAGCTCCTGTACACCTGCCACTTCCTCGTCACTGACATCCTCTTCCTTTATGTCAGAGATATTGACTGGCCAGTTGGGCAGGATGCTCTTTGCACATACAACAAAGAAGTCCAACCTTTAGTACAAACTAAGAGAATAAACGTCCTAGGGACAAAGACTGGGTCCCTGGACACATTCTGCTCCACCTGCTTTCCCACCAGCCATTCAGTTGGTTTCCCATTCCTATTCTTCCTCACTGCTCTGTCCCACACACCGTTCAAACAGAAGTCCATAAAGGATAAACATGTTTAATTAAAGATTTTACTTAACAGCATCCCAGGAGAAAGTTAAACATAGGCTAAGCAGGCAGCACCAGTTCTGCACTTCCTAATTACCAAGAGCCTGCCTTGGAAAACTACATTTTTTCTTCATGAAAAAGGTTCACTTTCCCTGCTTCACTTTTTTTAGTGGAAAGGAACAAAACACCTCTTCATCAAACCTCCCCCATTGTCTGGGGCAGCCTCCTTCTTCCACCAGTGACAGCACTACAGGGCCAAAACAAAAATAATCTGTCTCTGAGACAGATCTGGTACTGGAGTTGGCAAGATACCAGCACTTGCAGACTGCTGTTCTCCACCTGAATAACACACTCAGGCTCACATTACACCTCTGGCTCCTGGAGGGAGAGATCTCCCAAGAGCCAGTCTCTTGGAAAAGGCTGGGAGAAGGCACAGACTCTTTCTGAAGACACCAGGCTGTGCCAAAGGCAACGTGAGAGGCAGGAGGGTGGATGAACAGCTCTGACCTACATTGGCAGAGCAGGGGACTGGCCCAGGCACATGCTGCATAGGTGCTGGTGCAGTACCTGGCTCCCAGCTTTTGTTTGGCTTTGGCTTTCCTTCTCATCCACCTCCACAAGCAAGTAGAGTGACCTGGACTCCTTAGTTTCATTGAGGAAGCCTCCTGTGTCTACCTGTCGCTTGATGGTGGAGTTCCAGTGATTTTTCACAGCATTGTCAGTCCTGCCAAGAGATCATAAGGAAAAAGAAGTCGCCATTTACAGCAGCTTTAAAGCACAGCTAACAGCTCCTACATGCTCTCCAGCACCGTCCTTGAGCTCAACACAGGGGTTTCCACAGGCCACCCAGCTGCGAAGGCACCAGTGAACAAAGAAGTCCTACAAGAAGGGCTACAAGAGGCTCCTGCTTTTATACCCTTAGAAACACAAGGGGCTTTATGCCAGCTCTGTCACTGTTTACTGGTGGGGCCGTGCAGTTTCTCATCATCTCAGTGCTGGTTGCACTGAGAGCGTTGGCCAGGCACCCCGGCGTGCCCAAGTGGGAAGCTCATAGAAGAGCTGCACCCTCATGATTTCCTGCCTCTTTCTGACAACAGTCACCATGAACATACACACATGGACTCTGCCAAATTTTGGTTCCCTGGGTTCATTTTGGGGGGGGGGGGGGGGGGGGGGGCGGCTGTGGTGATGGTGGGCTGAGGATCACTTTGGGGGTGCTACGGGCAGCGCAGATGGGCTGCAGCTAAGGGGTGACCTAGGCAGAAGTAAGAAGGGAGCAGAGAACAACACAACCTCCTTGGACAGGGGATGCCCTGCTTGCAATGACAGCAATGACAAAGCCCCGGTCCCTGCCCACAGGGTTCCTGGGTGAGAAACTCAGGTCCCAGCATGACCATGCCACCTCAGCCAGCACAGAGCCTCTTCCCACATCGCTCCTCACATGCAGCACCCACTGCAGTGGCCAAAAAGCCAGGGCAAGAGCCAGGCCTAGCGCTCACCTGCCAGCGAGCCCATGGCAGTGCTTGCCAGCATCATGGGCTGCCACCTGGCAGTGCTGGGGACTTGAGGATGCCACAGAAGCACGCAATGGTTTGGGGTGGGAGGAACCTTAAAGCTCATCCAGCTCCAATCCTGGCCATAGGCAGGGACACCTTCCCCTAGAGCAGCTTGCTCCAAGCCCCTGTGTCCACCAATGGAGCAGCCACAGCTACTCTGGGCACCCTGTGCCAGTGTCCAACCACCCTCACAGGGAAGAACTTCTAAGATCCCATCTCAGTCTCCCCCCTCTGTCAGGTTAAAGACATTGTCTTGTCCCATCCCCACAGGCCCTTGTTCTCCCCACAAGAAATGTGGGCATGTGTTCTCAGAAGCCCCAACAGAAGGTGGGGATGCTCAAAGGCTGGTAGTTGTAAAGCAGAGCAGGAGAGGTGGGCAGGCTGCCTTACCTTTCCTGGGCGGTAGTCTGCCTGCCCCAGCTTTGCTGTTTTCTCTCCTCCAAGGCTGCTTTTAATTCCATCGTGTACATGGGAGGCCCTTTTTTGTAGACGTCCAGTTCCGCCTTGGGGAAAGCAGCAGGACCTGGTGTCTGTAAGAGAGGCAGGGAGGTTGCTGGGTACACAAGTGTTCTTCTGACAGGCAGGGTACTCAACAAAACAATCACACACTAGCTGTATAGCATGCACAGTGTATTAAACAAGCACACTAAAGCAAAAAAGCACAGTAAAGTGGGCAAATAATTCTATACAGTAAATAAGTACAAGAGAAGAAATTATGTACACGTATATAAGTGAAGTACAGAGGACAATTAGCAATGCATCAAATCAATACTGCATAGAGAGAACAGAGATCAAGAAACACATCACCAGTCATCATCGAACCATTCTCCAGGCACATGCTTCAGCTGGGAAGCCCCGTTGCAGCCAATGCTGGGAGTCTCAGGTAATTGGGAAAGCTCCTGCACTGCACATCCACCCACAGCTGAGGCATCGAATTGGGCTACAAGAGGCTCCTGCTTTAATACCCTTAGAAACACAAGGGGCTTTATGCCAGCTCTGTCACTGTTTACTAGTGGGGCCGTGCAGTTTCTCATCATCTCAGTGCTGGTTGCACTGAGAGCGTTGGCCAGGCACCCCGGCGTGCCCAAGTGGGAAGCTCATAGAAGAGCTGCACCCTCATGATTTCCTGCCTCTTTCTGACAAACAGTCACCATGAACACACACACATGGACTCTGCCAAATACACTGTGACAAAACCATACTGTGTTACGTTTCTCAGTCATGGGAGGGAATCGGCTCTCAGCTAGGTTCCCAACCATTACATTGGTTTAGCACCTTCCCAGCAGGCAGGCTGCCAATTTGTTGATTAACCCATAATTTCCATAAATTTGGAGTACCCTGACCTGTCCTGCTTTCTTTCAAGTGACCACTGCCTCAGGAGTTCCCAGAAGGGCTGTCCAGTTCTGCAGCCCTTGGAATATTCCTGTCATGGGCTCCACCATTCAACACTAAGCCTAGATTCTTTGGTCCCCCAAGTGCTGCATTTTCCCTCCTCCTTTTTTTTTTTCTTTTTTTTTTTTGTTGCTCTCATGGATATAAGGAAGCTGTTCTTCCTTATAAGGAAATAAGTGTAAAAAACATCAGAAGAGAAGGGGACAATGAAGGATACCCCAATTCTGAGTCGTTAGAAGGTTTGAGAAAACCAAGAGAGCCAGTTGCAGCAGCACACATTGAAATGGACTCTGGGCTCATGCTCCCAAGCAGAAATGATGCCACCCACCCCTGTGAGAGAAGAGCCTATGGAAGCAGATTCTGTTGCTTTCAAAACAGTATCTGAAATGGAGAAAAAAGAGAAGGATAAGATGAAAGTAAAAATTGACAAGAGGAAAGTAGAAGTGGCTGTTAATCCCAAGAAAGACAGTATACTAAAACCAGCTAAAGCTTAAAAAGGTGTTATGTTTAAAGCCCAGCTGGTTACTCAGCACCACACAGCCATTTGCTCATTCCCCTCCCCTTTCCCTTTCCAGGCAGGATGGGTAAGACAACTGAAAGAATGTAAACCCCATGAGTTAAGAACAATCCAGTAACTAAAATACAATATACTATTACTACTACTAATAATAATGATACAGGAAATAACAAGAGGAGAGAATATAAAACTGAAAAGAAAAGAAAATCAAACGACTAAGCAGCAGTGATGCCCAATACAATTGCTCAGCACCCACCAGCTGATACCCAGCCCGACCCAAGCAGCGATCTGGGCCTTCCGGGTGACCCCCCCAGTTTCTATACTGGACATGGTGTCCTATTGTATGGAATACCCATTTGGTTAGTTTGGGTCAGGTGTCCTGTCTCGGCTTCCTTGTGACTTCCCCTCCTCCCTGGCAGAGCATGAGGGACTGAAAAGTCCTTGAGCAGGGTACTGAGCAGCAACTAAAACATCAGTGTGTTACCAGCATTATTGTCAGGCTAAAGCCAAACAGCACTGCTCCAGCTGCTAGGAAGGAGAAAAAATAACTGTTACAGCTGAAACCAGGACAAAAGGGAAGGAGGAGCTGCCAAAGACAGACAATGTTAAAACATCTTCCACTTAAAAGGATGAGAATATTTTGATACTGTCATGTAAATAGTTGTCAGTATGGGAAGACAGGAATGCCTTCGCAGCCTCAATGTAATGTGGCGGTAGTAATTAACTTCCAAGACAAAAAAAAAAAGAGCATTATTTCATTTGATGTTTACTGTTTTTCAGAAGTTTCATTAATTGTGCACTGGAAGCTAACACTAATTTTACAGAAGAATTTAACTGGTTGCAATTTATGTAATTGCCAGGGGGGTTGCAACAGGTGAAATAGAAGCATTTCTGGAACATGGACAGTGGCATGGCTGGTTTTGAATTTCTAGTCATTAGAGCCACAGAAGCATTCCTTGAATCCTGCACAGTTTTGTAAGTTGTAGTATACGTATAGATAGTGGACAACAGAATTGGATTTGTCTGAATGCAGACTGTGTGTACGTGTGTGGCTTAAAGTACAGCAGTGAATGCACACATTTTTCACAACTCAGCAAATACTTGCAGTGCAAACCATTTTCGTTGCAGTAAGGTGGAAAAAGAGCAAGTCTTATTACAGTGCAGTATCAAACATAAAGACCATTTATCTTGAAGGCAGTAAAGATAAGTTTTAAAATGACAGCTTAGACTACAACATGTTTGGTAATTAGTACAAGATGCAAAATATTTGTACTGCAATCCTACATACAGGACTGTTTAATCAACACTTCTACCAGATGTCCCAGCAAAATTTTGCACGTACCTCTACTTCGAATCAATGACAGAAACTGCAGTTCAAGAAAAGTCATATTTAAAACTTGTAAACTCAGCTTCCACTAATACAGCTCAAAGCCATTACTGTAGGAAAGATACTGGCAGCGTTCAGATTCCTGCCCAAGTAATTTTTCAGCATAGAAATCATCAACTATCCTGAGAGATTTCTTCACAAGCTTATTAAGTCTTAAAGAACCTGTCCTGGTATTGGCTGGAATGGAGTTACTTCCTATTTCACATTATTCCGCATATGCTCATTAGCACCTTTCCTCTTCTCAAAGATCTTCAGCAGTTTAAGATTTCCTTACAAACAAGTCTGATCCTAACCCCTGTGACACATCTTGGAACCCCTCCCAGCATTTTCTGGCATCACAGATCAATAACTCAGGAAGGACTGACTCCAGGGATCAGTAGGCAAGCAGCGAGAACGCTGAAAACCTAGAGTTGCTTTGCAAAGTTTACAGGGATTAGTAATTTGTAGTGTGGGTGCTGGTGATTAGGCAAGTCATCTTGTACCTGAATGATTGAAGGGCGTAAGGACTCTCTGTAGAGGCACATTTATGTGCTCCAATGGGGCTGGGGCATGACACGCGCATGAAAAAATATTTGTTCTTGTAATTCTATACTTTGCATCCTAGCCTCTTGCCTTGGTCTTCATGGGTCAGTTTGATTTTTTTGTGACACAGGCTTGGGGCTCACCTGTGGGCTGGGGCTTTTGCTGGGTGACGCCAAGGCAGCGTTGGATGAGGCCATAAAAGGATGGAGCAAGCTGGGCAGCCACTGCAGCGCCAGCTCTGGAAAATCAGTGCGTGAGCCCCAGCCAGCAATTCTCACCCACCAGCCAGGTAGGTGTGAGCTGAGTTTCCCATGCTCAGCCAGTCTCTGCCTGGCACCTGGGGCAGCCGTGGTTCCTT